AATAAGTTGGGGACAGTGTCTACGAGATCATATGGTCATAATTGGTATAAGGTCATCCTTACTAAAACAAATGATAAATGGGTTTTACATCTAAGCAGTCTATTTTTCAGTTGATCTGATAGCAGTAAACTGTCACAACTTCATTTGAGTAGTTTGAGGTCAATGTCCAAAATGATATCTATCTTTTCAGATGTAATTGTTCGCATGTCCAAACCGCTACCCGCACCGGTAAGATGGAACGAACGAACGAACGAACGAACGAAGCAGATTCCAATCGGTTGAGATAAAAGAGATAGATCTCTCTTCATTCTTGTTCTTACGCAATCGGTTCTGCGTGGGTGGTTGTTTACTACTTGTCTAAAAACTGCAAACTACCAGTTCACGTTACATCGCTTATTGTTTTCCTAGAGTAAGATGCACTGTAGCAGCTACATTTCTGATGATATCATGATCATCATTTGACCAATCAAATTTGGTCTGTTTCGGATCGATTTAGCATCACATATGTGACGGTCCATTTGTGATAAATTCTTCTCCGACTGGTATTGACCCAATTGACTGTAAATGTACACCATTGGAAATGTTAGGCATAAGAATTTCGTGACTAACTGAGAATCACTGCACTCTCACTCAATGTATATAGCTCGCGTTGTTGGTCTACTCATACAAGTTTCAGCTTATGAGGCGTCATTCCTTGATCGAGTAGACTTGTCTGCTTCTATTCTGTTTGTCTTACTAGGCAACCTCTTTTCCTCTCTCTCTCTGCGCGTGCGTGCAGTGTTATTTCTAGCAAGTGTCTCAGATTACCCAGATCGCGACGACTGCCGTCGGACTGTCTGTGTAAATCAGGTTTGATTCACAGTTGTCTTCACTTGAAGAACGACAGAACTTTTATTGCTAACTGGCCAATGACTTTAGCGTAACACGATACAATACATATCCAATGAACCAATTCGCGTTGATTGTTCTCGTATTCCAGTTAAATTCTTTATCTTGAATCTACCAAAAACGTGAAAATATTATTTTACGATATCATACCATGTGTGTGCTAATAGAAAAATCGATCAGTCAATCGATAAAGTTGGTTAAAACCACTGCGTTTTCGTTATCGTTGAATATCATGAGACATCCATCTATTTATCACAAACCATTCATTACCAGTCCTTTTTAAACATAGCATTTGAGGAATCGCGTCGAAGACTGAACCACTGATTGTTCACTTGGTAAGGAACAAGTTGTCCCATCGTTTCTAGTACATCATTCTTCAGTCTGTAACATGCCTGCTTCCGAGTTTATCCAACAATGACTGGATCGTATTGTGTTGTTTTTGCGAATGCGGAACTATCAGAAGTCTAAGCCGTTCAATTCGGCTCAATTCATCTGGTCGATAATGGACACACCAGTGATGAAGAGATGGCTTACACGGCAGTTTCTTCACAGTACACAAAACCACTGAGAGAAGACTCTGAAAACTGTTAAAAGCCCAGGAATGGTACTACTGTTATAAATCCACAAGGCAGTGCCGGGACGAAAAGGGATATTCATTTCGAATAACTGTAATGGTATCAGTAAATTGGTATACATGCAACCAAAATGTTTCATTTGGAACAATTTTTCCGAATTTCCACAAGGTAACAGAATAATTAGTCGAATGGTCCAAATAAAGATCAGCATTCCCCATAGTCTCCTGCGGTGGCCAAATGGTTAAATCACCAACTAGTGACCTGGGTGTCCCGGGTTCAAACCGCTCCACCGCCGCCCGTCTACCCTATATCTGTATTTTCCCCAGGCAGCCTGAGTATGACCGCAGCTCCCTTCCTGAAAGTTGACTGTACATTTGCATATTCAATAAATATAAAAAGACGTAAAAAGACATTTGATTTTTTTAATTAAATCCTTCAATCTATCCGGAAATTCCGTGGGAACCCAATAACCGCTTCTTAGTGCGTGCAAGCTACTCACAATTGAGAGTAGTATCTCACAACACTACAAAATCCGAAGTGTGCAATCACTCTACCCGGTCCACTGCAATCCTCTCCTATTTATTGAGTGTATTCATAATTTCAGTTTATTGTTGAATAAAATCACTCAAATTATACTCAAATAAATAAATAAACAAATTCGTCTCCTGCAGTCTGTCATTCTACTCACTGGTACATGATATGAGGTTCTCATTTCTGTTTAGAGGACTTTGACATGCAGCGATCCATCTCACTGAAACACACAATTCGACCAAATTCGAACACAGTGCAAACATGGTAGTGAATCTTAATGACAGCGATCAGGCAGTGTGAAACAATTCGCATATATTTTCATTTTTGTATACGCATAAACATACGAAAAGGGTAGATATATAGTATATTTCGAGTGAGGGGTGGGTGAGTGAACTGGGAATAGAGAGCGAGGGAGAGAAAGAGATGCGTACAGAACCGAGGAAACGTGTGCTGACAGGGTATAAGAAGGCTGGACAATTGAACGGTCCATATTTGACGTTGAATTTCGGGGAAAACAAAACCTATTAAGAGCCCCATAGTGGACTGTCACAAACAATTCGATTCTATGCGCAAATTGAAAAACGGATACAGATCACCCGCCAGCCCCCCCACCCCCCACCCGCCGTCCACCCTTCCCCCGATTTGCCGATTGAATTTTCAGATTAGTTCGAGACCGGAGAAGCGGTTGAGGGTGGGGTGGGGAATTGGAATAAGAAAAAACGTTTAGTTGAAAAAAAAAAAAAGATCCGAC